AGGTCATGATCTCACGGTTTGTGGGTTCGAGCCCCGTGTCAGGCTCTGTGCTGACAGCCAACTCGGAGTCTGGAGCCCGTTTCAGATTCTGTGTCTTCCTCTCTCTCTGACACTCCCCTGTTCATGCGATCTCTCTCTCTCTCAGAAATAAATAAGACATTTAAAAAAAATTAAAAACAAAAAAAGATTTCAACCCAACAGTGAAGTAGTTTCCTAATAAAGTACACTGGAAGCATAAGCTAATGTATGGAAAACAATATAAAAGATGTTACCAAACAGGTTTAATGAAAGGTTTTGTTGATATTAAAAATGAAATTTTTATGTTCATAGTGAACATAAAAACAGTTACAAAGCTGTTTATTACTTTTAATTAAGTGAAGATCAAATAATTTATAACTTTTGAACAGGATATTTTTTAGAACACACTTCAAATTATAGGTAATAACGTACCTAAATTTTAAAAACTGTAATTAATAGTGACTTAAAAGTATTCTTGATATTATAGTAACAGCATTATACAACACAGATTATTTTATAAACGTGTGTAAATTAAGCTATTAAGCCTTTTTAGTATACTGATTATCAAAGACCTATAGAAAAAAAAAGTAGGGACATTATTACATGAGAAAGATGATGCAAACCCTTTAGTTAATTAAAAAATTGAAGTTATAAAGAAAATTGAAATTTTTTTGTGACACTGAAATCTCCTACCAATTTCAGAAGAATAGATTTTGATGAGATAAAACCCTTTCCAAAGGCTTGAGATATAAGGGGGGCCATTCTAGATTTCGAAGTCAGTCTGACTGTACACTAACTCTGATTAAACAAAAAGCCTGATTTATGGCTCACCAAGCATACACTGTATACCGAGGTTATGAATAGCCTAATAGAAAACCATCTTGTCCTTGCGATATTGATCAATGCTCCTATTCCCTGCATTCCTTGACCTTAAAACTTGTGATTCCTGCTTATATACTAATCTATAATCTTTTGAGCTTTTGTAAGATGTAAAAACGTATATAATTCTGTAAAAACTGTTCCTTACCCAGAGCACGTTCTTCCCTGTGAAGAGTGTGCTTCCCGGACAGCTGTTCTAACTTGGGCTTGAATAACACTCTTTCTTACCTTCAGAGATTCTTATATACAAGGTTTGTTAATTATGCACCAGCAACTCCTAATTTTATTTTTTTATTTTTTTAATGTTTTATTTATTTCTGAGAGAGAGAGAGAGACAGCATGAGCAGGGTAGAGTCAGAGAGAGAGGGAGACACAGAATCTGAAGCAGGCTCCAGGCTCTGAGCTAGCTGTCAGCACAGAGCCAGATGCGGGGCTCGAACCCACGAACCATGAGATCATGACCTGAGCCGAAGTCAGACGCTTAAGCAACTGAGCCACCCAGGCGCCCCAGCAACTCTTAATTTTAAATAACATTTTATACTTGGAATATTCTCATGAACTCAATAAAAAATTAAATATATCCTTGTTTTTAGTAAATTCATTTCACAGAACTAAAACAACTGTAATACTTATAATGCAGTCTCAAAATTATTAGTAAATATCTTCTGCATATATATTATTTAAATATCTAAAACTGGTTATAAGTGGTCCTTAATCATATTGTCAAAATAAAGTATTAACAAAAATGGTATGCAACTTTTATATAATCCTTAAATTGACATTTGACAATAGGAAGTCACTAAACTGCAATTCTGTACCTGATAATTTGTAGGCCTTTGGAGATGGGCCAGAAGAGGCTTGTATCTCTGTCAAGACAAAAGTTTTGCGGAGGTGTTTCTGGTAACTGCCTTAAGCAATTCTTTACTTTTTTAAAAGTTTATTTATTTATTTGTGTGTGTGTGTGTGTGTGTGTGTGTGTGTGTGAGAGAGAGAGAGAGAGAGAGAGAGAGAGAGAGAGAGAGAATGTACGTGCATGTGAGTGGGGGAGGGCCAGAGAGAGAGGAAGAAAGAGAGACTCCCCAGCAGGCTCTGCACTGTCAGCACGGAACCTAGCCTGACATAGGGCTTGATCTCAGTAACCATAACATCATGACATGAACCAAATCAAGAGTCGGATGCTTAGCTGACTGAGCCACCCAGGTGCCTCGGCCTTAATCAATTATTCTATTAACAAGGAGGGCTTTACTAACAAGAAATAACAGGCAAGGTATCCTCTTGCATTTTCTACTGTCCAGTACCGAATAACCTGACTAATCAAAACCCAAAGGGGGATTAAAAAGAAAAAAGGAAAAAAACACAAACTTTCCATCCACATAATAGCCTCGAAATCCTCACCGCTTTAAGTTACTTTGTTACAAAAACAAAAAGTCATCTGGAGAGGTTGTTAGAAGATTGCTGGGTACCACTCCCAGAAATTCTGATTTAGTGGGTCTGAATCAGATAATTTGCATTTCTAATGATTCCCAGGTGATGCTGATGCTGCTAATCCAACCACCACATTTTAGACAGCACTACGTTCCTTTATCACAGAGGTACCCCAGTTTAACCATTTTTCTGCTGTTGAACATCTATTTCCAATGATATGTTTCTGTAAATAATATTTCAGTAAACACCTCTTTATATCATTAGAAATAACCTACAAGCTTTCTAAGCTTGATACATATTGCTCTAAAATATGGCCTCTGCTCCGAACACTGTATATGGAGCATCAGCTCTATTAACTTTGAGTAACATAGAGTATATCATTTATTATTACTGTTAACAATTTAATAAAAGTTACTCTATTTTAGTTGGCATTTCCTTGATTGCTGGTGAGAATAAATCTTTTTTCCACTAATATATTAGTTTATATTTCTTTTATTTGTTTATATTGTTTGACTTTTTTTTTTTTCCTATTGAGTTAGGGTCTAAAATGGTGATCAGTTCTGGGATGCCTGGGTGGCTCGGTCAGTTAAGCGTCCAGCTTCAGCTCAGGTCATCATCTCACAGTTCGTGGGTTTGAGCCCCACATCAGCGGGCTCTGTGCTGATGGCTCAGAGTCTGGAGTCTTTCTGGATTCTCTCTCCTTCTCTCTCTGCCCCTGCCCTGCTCACGCTCACTCTCTCTCAAAAATAAATTTAAAAAATAAATAAAATGCTTATCAGTTAAAGCATTCTCTGACATCCTTTTGTATCTGATTTTCTCACTTGTCAATATAATATATCACTGTTTATTTTGTTTGACACAGGGAGTTTGAAAATTAAAAGTAATTCAGGGGCGGCTGGCTGGCTCAGTGAGTTAAGTGGTCGACTTTTGATTTTAGCTCAGGTCATGATCTCTCAATTTGTGAGTTCGATATAGCCCAGAGCCTGCTTGGGACTTTTGCTCTTCTCTCTCTGCCAGCCCCCTGCGTGCACGCGTGTGTGTGTGTGTGTGTGTGTGTGCGCGTGTGTGTACACGTACACGTACGCACGCCCTCTCTTACTCTCAAAATAAACAAACACTAAAAAAAAAAAATAATCCCATTTACTGGTCTTTTTCCTGATACTTTCCATTGCAATCATGCTTAGAAAGCAGTTTCTCATTAAAATAGAATTCACATTTAACTAGTTTGGTTTTGTACTTTTTAAAATCATTTGTTACTGAATTTTAATTATTTTACTATAACAATGAGATAAGAATCTAGCTGTTTTTTCTTCCAAATTGTTAACCAACTTCTCCAAGTTTTCCTTTCTATAATATGGGAAAAAATTAAAAAAATAAGAGAATAGGTAAAAATGCCATCACATTGAAGGGTTCAAATCACACATAAAAGGTGTCTACTTTTGGATGACCTATTCTGTTTTACTTAAATGTTTAGTATTACATTAGTATGACACTGTTTCAAATTATGTGGCTTTATCAGTACATGGACATCTGGTAGGGCAAGCCCTACCACAACAATCGTGATGGGCAAACTCAAATCTATCTGGGTCTCAGTTCTCACAACTGTAGGCTGGGTCTATGTCTACCTTTGAAGCTTGCCTATGAGAAATTAACTCAAAGTACATGTATGAAGACACTGAAATTACAAAGAACTACACAGTTAGCTCTAAGTTATCATCTATCTCAGACTATATTATTACAGACAACCTCTTAAAATGATACAAATAATTCACAAGTAGAAGCTAAAATCAATACAATAGGGGCACCTGGGTGGCTCAGTCAGTTAAGCATCTGACTTTTGATTTCAGCTCAGGTCATGATCTCCTGGTTTCTAGGTTTGAGCTCTTCATCGGGCTCTGCGCTGACAGCGTGAAGCCTGCCTGGGGTTTGCTCCCTCCCTCTCTGCCCCTCCCCAGCTCGTGCTCTCTATTGCTCTCAAAATAAGTAAAAACATTAAAAAAATCAACACAACAGATCCTTATTAGTTATGAATGAATACTACTAAGTTACATAAAATGGCTAATGGACGAAATATTGTTATATACATTTTCTAGGTAAAAAAATATTCCTTCTAGCTCATTTGAGCAAAAGAAAAACAAGTTGGTGCCTGTTTGTTAATCAAGGACAGAAAAAAAAAGGGATGGTGAAATAATCCTTATATCTGCACAAGATTTCAGTTTCTCAGAGCTGTGGAAAAGGATCACAAGACTAGTTTTACAAGTAGAGTCCATTTAATTTCTTTTCTTAACCCTTTCCATTCCAAAAAGGAAAGATATGAATGTGCATACAAACCTTAGCATTTCTGTTCCCAAAATGCAGACACTGGTCTCACTGCCTGCCCTAATACAGGAAGAATTCTGACAACAGAAAACACTCTCATTCAAGGAAGTCTTAAATTAGAAATAAATCTTATACTCTGACAAATTTAGCACCTAAAAGGTATTGATACTACCCCTTAAAATAGCTCAAAAGGCCCTAGATTATATATATGGTACACAGAATCACATTTTTTTTTTTTACACTTAGTAACAGGGACATTATGCAATACTTTTTCCAATCCCCTTAATTAATAAGAGAAGTAAGGCTTCAGAGCTAGGTCCACAAGTTTAATTTTCTGGCTAAGTAAATTGTAAACTTACTTTAGTAAATCACTGGTTTCCTGTTCACTGTCTTGTGTTGTATCCAAAGAAAAGGAATCTGAGGGCTCTGCTGAGTTGGACTCTGGTTCCTCTGCTGGAAGCATCTGGGTGCCCAGGGAGCCACCAAAAATCTCCCTTTCCCTTTTGACTCCCTCCTCAGGATGGTCACTGGGATTCTGTAAATCTTTCTCAGTTTTGTCATGGTCATCCTTGAAAGAAGACTGTTTGGCATCACCAAGAGATGATTTTCCTGAGATATTGAATAAGTTACCAAGAAACTGAAAAAAGCTTTCCTTCGGCTGTCTATCACTTTCTCCTATTTTGGTGTCTGAAGTGGAGCGGGAGAGGTCATTTGGCTTTCTGGAATCTTCCTGAGTTGGAAGAGCGATTAGCTTCTCAGCATGGTTCCTTTTGTGCTCACTTTGAGGAATCTTTGAAAACAAGATAGAGAATTATAAACATCATCATTTAAAAAATAACAGAGACTAATAACTTATTTTTTTTTAATTTTTTTAATGTTTTATTTATTTCTAGGAGAGAGAGAGAGAGAGACAGCGTGAGCAGGGGAGGGTCAGAGAGAGAGGGAGACACAGACTGAAACAGGCTCCAGGCTCTGAGCTGGCAGTCAGCACAGAGCCTGACGCAGGGCTCGAACCCACGAACCGCGAGATCATGACCTAAGCGAAAGTCAGACACTTAACCGACTAAGCCACCCAGGCGCCCCGACTAATAACTTATTATATGACACACTCTGTGCCGGACGCCAGGCACATTTCTAAGACTGATGGCTTCTGATTCCTCGGGCCCTTTACAGTCTAATGATGAGCAAGGTCAGCACAAATTAAAGACATACAGTACCTGTCACATAGAAGCAGAGCACGAGTGGGAAGCCAGAACCGGAGTAACCAGTACAGGTTTGGTAGCAGTTGACAGCAGAGTAGGTAACTCAGAGGATGATTCCTAGAAGTGCCCTCTGAAGGAGAACTAATATGTGACCCTGTGATGTTTGTGCATCTCTTTCCTTCCCTATCTCTCGTCCCCTCTGCTCCCCCTCCCCCCAAATCTATTTAGTGATGTGTCAGCTTCTAAGGAGTTAAAGATGAATGGAGCTGGGGTACAAAATGAGAAGAGTGAAAGATGTGTATGGAGAGGTAAGTGAAGGGACAGATCATGGCAAATTTTATGTATATTTAAATTCCCTTTTGTTATTCTTTGCTAATGGGCAGTACTTTCCGGACTGTGCTAACCCAGGAAGCTGAAACATTGTATAAAATTGTTCCTTAATAAGATGAGGAAAGACAGCAACATGGTGTATCAATTCAGAGGAAAAGCGCTTAACAGTATCTACTACTATTTACTACTACTATCCTTAATAGTAAAACACAAAGTCCTGAGATGTGCATTAATGCAAACCCTGGGCAGTACTGGGAACTCCTGCAGATTTTAAACCATGTGTGTTTCACCTGCTCATAATTAAGTTACTAAGAAAGCAAAGCATATTCATGTGAGGAAAGACTGAGCTGCATTCTCTGTGAGGAAAGACTGAGCTGCTGTATCAAAGAACTTGCTGACATTCCATGTCACACTCTTCCCTGAAGCTTCATTAGCTTTATGCCCACGTGCCAACTCAGCCTGCCTTCCAAACATGCCTGCTCACCTACTTGTAAAAGGAATGTCTGTCTGACAGTATCTGTCAGATGTTATGCTCACTAGTCCTCATAAAAGGAAAGCTCAAGTGCGAGTCAGAGAAAGAGCAGTGCACCAAGGTAAAATCACCTTAGGGCACTGTAAGTTCACATGATAAAGGTTTATTAAGAGACTGATCCTCAAGGAGGCAAGAGCATCATAATTATAATGTTGTTTACCTTGTTCCATATTTTAATCCAAATTCAAAAGAGTTCAAAGAAGTGGTCCGCTAACCACTAATAAGAGCATATGAAAGCTTGAACAATTGTTTAGAACTTATTAGCCCCAGAAATTAATTTCAAGCAAACCATATTTTAAGTTTGTTCCCACCTTTGGAGTCAGAGGGTATTTTTGAGGAAATACACAGATCGCATTTTTTCCCCCTGTGTCAGGAGCTTCATAAAACTCGTGAGTCTCTACATTTAGAACATCACCAACCTTCCAGAGTCACTCAAAGTTTCACCTTTTACTGGTTTCAACTGCAACTTGATCCCACACGTCTCCACCTCATCCCTCCAACCTTCTGCTCATCATGAGAGCCTGCGTTACAAATTAGCTGTGCCCTCTCCTCCCCAAAAGAGCATAAACGGCCTCTTGGTTTGGCAAAAGAAATGCTAGTTGACATTTTGAAAATACTTATGTGTATGAGGATATACATTTTTTTGTCCTTTATGCCATTTAAATTGTTGCAATTATCAGCCACAACATTTCTTCCTGTTAAAAGGAACTAAGATTGTAACATGAACAGAATAGTGATTTTTTTTTTCCATATAGCTAGATGAATGACTGCTCTTCCTGGGTATCTATTTGAAGGAAGTAAACTATAGGCCATTCATTAGAATATTGTAAATACTCTTAAAATGTTTTAGAAATTCACAAAAGAGTCTTATAAAATTGGGGCAATGGATTTTTTAAAAAAGGAAAATTAAGAGAATACGGAGATTACATTTTTTGACATCAGTAAAATCCCAAGACAAATAACTTCTGTCAAAAATATTATTTAGGCATCTGACTCTTGATTTCGGCTCAGGTCATGATTCCAGAGTAGTGGGATCAAGCCCTGTACTGGGCTCTGTACTTACCATAGATCCTGCCTGGGATTCTCTCCCTCTCCTTCTGTCCCTCTCCCCTGCTCACACATGTGCTCTCTAAGGAAAAAAAACTATATCACTGCCTCAACAATCATTTTTTACTTGACAAGTCCTTTCAAAATACAAAACTGCTTTCTAAACAAGAAAAAATATTTTTTTGCCAAGTGAAAGCATTTACATTTAACCTTTTTAGAGTTATAAATGTAATTTTTTTAAAACAACCACTTGTTTTTCCTTCCCAATTTTCAGTATTTAAATATACATATTTTTTAAATGTTATTGTTTTCATGTATTTTTAGAGACAGAGAAAGAGAGAGAGCAAGCCAGGGAGGAGCAAAGAGAGAGGGAGAGAGAGAGAATCCCAAGCAGGCTCTGTGCTGTCAGCGCAGAGCCAGACACACGACTCAAACTCATGAACTGCAAGATCATGACCTGAACTGAAACCAAGAGTCAGACACTTAACTGACTGAGCCACCCAGGTGCTCCCCTCCCCCCTCCCAATATTTCAGCTTCTTTGCTCTTCTAGAATCTTTGGATCTTCAGTTCACTGAAGAGCATTTTTTGGGGGGTCCTTAGATGTCTCCATTGCTTAAATATTCCCTAAATCTTATGAGAAATTTGTTTCAGTAAAATACCAACAAGAAAAAAAAAAGTATCTAAATCTAGAAACAAAAACTAGCAGAAAAGTACACTGCTATTCAAAGTAAACACAATAAATTCTATATTTATACAATTAAAATGTTAAGTCTGATCTGAAACAGCTGCTCTCTCCCCTCAGCCTAAACAACAATAAAGTTCAGCCTGCCACAAGCTAGGGCCAGCACTGCCTGCCAGCAGGACTGTCTGCCAATGTTCCAAGGACTAGAATGAAAGCAGCCAGGATTCAAGCAAACAAAACATCAATTTCAGTTGTTCTCAAAGTGTTGGTATTCTGAATATAACATACAGAGGCTACTGACGAAGGCATATGTATCTGGGGAATTGGGACTTCTTTTCCCTTCATATTCCATTTGTTGCAATGTAGTGCCCTTAGGTTAATTTCATCCATCTCTCTAATCTCTTTGCTAGGTGCCCACTACATGGAAGCATAGGAAAGCATTAGGGATACTGATTAGTGAAACGTAGCTTTGGCCTCACGGAGCTTATAGTCTAGCAAGGTTACCACTGTATCGCTGTGCGGGGCTTAGAAGAGGTATGCACACAATGAAGGACACAATGAACTTGTCTGGGGATGAGGAGAATCCACTGCATAGAGGAGGGGACATCTGAACTTGCCCCTACAGGGTGAGGAGAGCATCCTGGACACACAGCAGAGTATGCACAAAAACACAAGTATGAACTGTGTTTGTCATGGCAGCGGTATGGCTGAAGACTGGGGTAAAGAGACTAGAGAATGAGGTTGGTAAGATGACTCATAGAAGCAGACGGAGAGAGATAACAAAGTCAGAGACAACTAAGCTTTCTAAACTGGGCAACTATTTGAGTAAAGTCAAAAAATGGATATGGGAATTAGGAGAGGTGAGATTAGGGCCTTGGTGGGGGTGGGAGGAGGTAAGGCAACAAATTACTTAGATGGCAAATACATCGAATTTTTGGTCTCCTGGTGATGTACAAATTGAGATGTCTGGAAAGTACTCAGAAGCATAGTTTAAGAATTTATTCTGGCAAAACACAGTGTGTGGAGGATAAAAGGGAGACCAATAAAAGAGCCCTATGGTAAAAAGATTTTAAAAAGGCGCAAATAGTGAAGAAACAACTGAGATGGGAAAGGCCAAATTTAGACCAGCTCATTTCTCCAGAATACTGGTTGCAAAGGACAAAGAGGATTCCAAAAGCAAATGGGAAGTAAATGCCAAATGCCAATGTGAGGGCAAGAAAGATGACGATCCTCTCCCACTGTTCTTCAAAAGCATCAGGTACACTCATATCTCAGGAACTGTACATCTAGTCTTCTCTCTGCTTAGAATGTTCCTCCCCCACACAGCTGTGTGACTCACTCCCCTAACCTCCTTCAGACCTTTATTTCAAAGTCATCTCTTCATTGAAAGCTTCCCCAGTCATGCTAAAATAGTATATTTCTCTACCCTGAAAGTGCCAATATCCTCTCTGAATTTTCTCCTTTGTACTCGCCAGTGTCAAATACACACACACATACACTTTCATTACTTAATATTTGTTTCTTCCTCTAGAAAGTAAAAACTGCAAGTGCAGGGATTTTTGTCTATTTTATTCAGTGCAGTGTCTCTAGCACCTTGAAATGTGCCTGACAATAAGAGGCGCTCCAATAGTTGTTGGGTTAGTAAATGAGGAATGAGGACTATGGACAAGCCCTAAGAATGCACAAGAAATAGTTGCAACAACTCAGGAACTTACGAATACAGTCTGCAACTCTAGGTGTTAAGCCAGGAGTAGTAGGTAGACAAGGGAATAGAAACAGTTGGTAAATAAAAGGGAACACTTTGAGAAGTTTTTTAACTTAAAAAAAGAAAAAGGAAAGACAGAATATGACAGTTTAAGGTCCCAGGTAGAATAGATGGCTTTTTGATCCTGTTTTCTGGATCAGCTCTGCACCTATTGGGAAGAGAAAAACTGCTATACAAGAGAGAAGGATGGGAGGTTCCAGAATAAAAAGCACAAAGTAAGATAAAGAGACC